ATAGCATGATGTGACATAGCTCTTACATCTCATGATAGTTATCAATACATTCCATCTTGAGTACCCTAGTAATGGTAACCTGTCATAAACCTTACTAGGCATTGGCCAATGTATTTCCCGTTTCCACAAGCGGTAAGTAGTTCAGGCATATGCTATTCTTAGTGATGAGTTACTTTTTTTCCGCCAACTAATACTTCTCCCATCGACACAACACTTGCAACTCTTATCTCTATTATCCATAGTGACAAAAAAGAGAAACTCATAAATGTGTATTTCATTAAGGTCCCTAGCTAGTATCATAAATAGGATTTTGTCTGTCAATATGCGTGTGCAAATATTCACATATGTAAATCTTTTTTCGCACACTCATTGCACTCATTTTCATTCAATAGCTTTATATGCAGGAGCAATTGACATGGGGTTAGATTTCATAAGCATACCTTTAAAATAACAGCTGGAACCATAATCATAGTAATTGCACTGCATTTGAAATCATAGTTATGACATGTAAATTAAATTGAATTTCATAATTATAGTAGTTTCAAGACATTGAATAAACTGTAAATTGATCATGACATTTATGAGATTTTGAGACAATATAGCATTGCATGTATTATTCATATCGATATGAAAACTTTGAATGATTTAATATAAAGCAAAATATAACTGAAAGGACAGTCAGTCGAAAGAAAGTTCTATAACCAAACTTGTACTAAGTAATGTGATTACCCACCTATTAACTTGGATTTTGAGCTAAAGCCTTGGAATCACCAATCCCAGCCTTTGAAGATTGGTTTTTTTATCCTTAAACAAGATTTCATCGATTCCTATAAGGCAAGCATAAGGTAATACATACAACTCAAGTCCTAATTGGATCACCGTACTCTTTATAAGCTTGAGACTTTTTCTCATAACCAAATTATTCTCAAATTGGTATCATAATTCTTTTTAAACAAATTTTCATATATAGAATAGTTTATATAATAGAAAAATGGAGCGTGATAAATAAGTAACTCTTCAGAAATGCTCATGTAGGTCTTACTTTATGCTACTTCCAAGTCCTAGCTTATGTAATCTTTACTTGTTTTAAAGTATCATCTTTCTTGTATAAGATTTAAATATAACCAGAGGGTTATTGAAGGCATAATATAAGATTTTCTTATCCATTACATAGTTAAATACAACAAGTTTATAGTTTCATTTAATTTGGAATCCGTTCCATGAACTACTTATGAATATAATCAATAAACCTAAATTCAAAATATTCTTGTCACTGCCCCCTTTTTATACTAAGTTAAAATGAAATTTTTTACTTCAGATATCATGTGACCCTTGTTTCTTTTTTGAATCTCATTAATTAAGGGTTTATAGGTGGCTGAGGGTGTGTGTAACTTTGAGCGTGAATGAGAGAGACATGTGAGTGTGAGAGAGTCCATCCCCCAAGGGTGAGAGAGCCCATCCCCCTTCATACCCAAATGTGTGTGTGAAAGGGATTTTGTGTGAGGGTATTTTTAACATTTTGCTTTAAATTTTAGCGCACAATCAAAGGAAGTTCATTTATGGGAATAAAATCGTATAGAGGGAGGGAGAGAATTTTATCCTTTCTCAATTAAAAGTGTTAGTCAACCAAAGGACCTTATGAAGGAGTTGAATATGTTGGGGACAGTGTAGGTTGTAAGGGAGAATATTATATGATAAAAGTAGTTCTATTATTTGACTTATTTCACTATCAGTTAATGGTTTCATCTACCGAATGACCATGAAATACATTAGAGATGGGCACCTACAACAACAATAATAACGTCAAGTCTTTATCCTACTGCGTGGGGTCGCTTACATGAATCCTTTTTTCTCCATTGTGTCTTGTTAAGAGTCAAATTCTCATTTAAATCTAAAAAAATGTCAATTTTAATATTTTATAACCAAGTATTTTTAGATCTACCTCTGCCTTTGTTAATAGGCCAAATCTAATACATATATTCTCCTAATCGGGTCATCGAAATTTGAAAACGTGGATTTACTTGAAGTCACTTTTTGTCCCTTGATTCTAATAGGAAGTGGATACGATTTCCTCAAAATCAGCAAACGGTAATACGAATTTAGGAAGAATAACACATCAAAACTAATTTTATTGCAAGATACAGTTAGATCTTCAATTGGAGAGGATGATCTGGCTCTCCCAAATCCCTAGCCAACAGCTAGAGCCCTCACAAACTAAGAAAATTTAATTTCAGCAAACTCAAAACATAATCCTAACCCTAGGGAAACAACCTACTTAAAGCAAACAATAAACATCAAATACCAAAAAAGACCCCCATATTTGAATTTTCACTCTTAGCCGTCCCCTCCCCTTAATAAAAAATTTCCGTCGAGCCCCACCCAAGAGGGCGTGAGATTCATCCGTGCACTGCTCGGATCTGCCCCGCTTCTGCTCAGCTTCACCCTGCCTCCTTATGTAACATTTGGCCAGTCTAGGAGGGACCGACCCAACACCGACTGGTCCAGGAGGGACCGGTCTATCAATACTCCCCTTCCAAAGACCCACCTTGTTTGCAAGGTGGAAAGACGGAAACTGCTGCTTCACTCTTAACTCCCTCAATTTCCTTGTCGTCACAAACGGTGAGAACCTGAAGTGATCTGTCCTTACACTGATCCCTAGTGTATATCTCTCCTGACATCTGAAATAAAGCTGCTTCGACCTCGCCCTCTTCTCCTGGAACTCCATTTTTATGAGTTTCTTAAAGTTTTCCCCAGGTCTCCCTCCTGTAGCCTTTTCTTTTTGGGTCTCCCTAAAAGTTCTCGATGTTGGCTCCTTGGATACCAAAAAGGTGTTGGTCATCATGTACGAACCTCCTGACCTCGCCCTCTTCTCCTGGAACTCCATTTTTATGAGTGCCTCCAATCCTCCACTAACTGGGTTAACTCCATAGCCTCTCCCAAATCATGAGGCCTCATCATTCTAATTGCCACTCGAATCTTTTGTTTGAGCCCTTTCATAAAGTTCATCTCTAGTATAGTGTTTGGAAGCTAGTCCAACCTGTTGGCCAGGTGCTCAAACTGCTCAAGATATTCCACCACTGTCCCCTACTGCGTTAAGGCGAAGAATTGTTCATAAAAGTCTCCTCCCCTGCTTGTTCGAAAATGTTCCAGCAAGCAATCCTTAAATTCCCCCCAGGTCTGTATGGGTTGTCTCGTATCCCTCCACTGGTACCATGTCGACGCTTTCCCCTCCAAGCACATTCTGATTGCTATCAGTCTCTTCTTCTTCGTCAACCTATTGACGGTAAAGTACATTTTCTCCTTGTAGATCCATCCATGTGTACCCTATCCCTCAAAATAGGTATCTTCAGTTTCCTCATCCTCGGATCTCCTCTGTTCCTCTTGTTTGCTCCATAAATTCCCATCCCCCAAGAGGGTTGTTCCCCCCAAGTGTCTCAATCATCCCTTTGCTTGAACCCAAATGTTTTGTCAAATTCCCACATTCTCCTTTCAACTTCAATACCCCATTGGATGATAATTAGCTCTTCTCCTTTCAAATTCACCCCCTCCTTTCAAATTTTGCACCCATTCGATCATGATCAACCCCTCTCCTTTCAAAATTCACCCCTATTGTCTCAAATTCAGCACCCCTTCATTCATGCTCTCCCCCCTCACGCCTCTCCCCATACCCTGTACCCAACTCCTCCCTTGGAATAGGCTTTAGGAGAGGCATTCTATCTTCTCCCTCCAAAATCTCCACCTCCTAATTTTCCATTCGCCTTATCGGATTAGGGTTTTCCTCACTTCCTTGGCTTCCAACGGCTTCCCTTGCCTTCGACAACACCTTTTTGGGTTGACCCTCAAGCGACTTCTTCCACATCTTCTCAAAGATCTAAAATTTCCCATCGATCTTCTCATGGATGGCTGGAATTTGACTTTTGAAATATGAAAATTAAGTATGTAGATCCGAAATTTCATATTTCAATTGCCCGATCTCCCATTCCAACAATTCTAACTTTCTTTCCGTCATTGGTACCCAGATCTAGGTTCCAAACACCAAAAATGGCCAAGAAACAACGAATTTGGTGTTCAAACAACAAAAATCAGAGAAAAATGCAGCAGAAATCAAAGAGGAAGTCTTATATTTCAACCCAGGACTTGGCTCTGATATTAATTTGATAGGAAGTGGATATTATTTCTTAGAAATCAGTGAAATTTGATAGGAAGTGGATACATTTTCTCGAAATCAACGAACTACAATATGAAATTAGGAAAAAGAACATACGAAAACTATTTTTATTGCAAGATATATGAAATAACATAGCAAGATACAGTTGGATCTTCAATTGGAGAGGAAGATCCGACTCTCCCACATCCCTAGCCAACGGTTAGAGCCCTCACAACCTAAGAAATTCTAATTCCAGCAAACTCAAGAAATAATCTTAATCCTAGTGAACAACCAACTTAAAGCAAACTATAGATATGAAATACCAAAATAGCCCCCCATATTTGAATTTTTCCTCATATCCGTCCCCTCCCCCTATTCGAAAATTTCCCTCATGCCCCACCCCATGGGGCGCGGGATTCATCCGTGCGTCGCTCGGTTCCGCCTTGCCTCCTTATGTAACATTTGGCTGGTCTAGAAGGGACCGGCCCATGAGGGATCAGTCTATCAGACCCCTTATGGTTCCAGTTGAAATTTACACTCATATCATTTATCATTAGCTGTTCTAAAATAGATAAACTTTTCTGCTTGATGTTGAGAGGTTTAGCTATGTTTCAATGTAAAATGGTTTGTGAAGATCTAGCTTTATGATAAAACTTGAATTATTATGTTTTTTTTTCATTTGCGGCAAAACTCTATGATTATTTTCTTATTGATTGTTTGCCATTAAACTTTTACTCATATGTTTTTGTTGCTTTCCATCTACAGTGAAATGTTTTTTTTCCCACTTTTGAGCACTTATGTTCTTTTAAACAATTTTTACAAACCTGGAACTCTCTTTTATCTTTTTCACCAGATTGCTCTTTTCTATGTTGTTGTATTTGCTGGTCTCCTACAGCGCTTCCCTATTAGTTTCTCTCAGGTATTACGTGATCATTCATATTATATTTCATTACCAGTCATTGATTAGAATTTTAGAAATACGTATAACTTCATCATACATTGACCTTCTAACAGTCACCTGGCCAGTTGAGAACTCGGAAGACATCACGTTCTGGTGGATCAAAAGTATCTGAGCATGCTAGTATAATAACCTTTGCAGATGTGGCTGGTGTTGATGAGGCCAAAGAAGAGCTTGAAGAAATTGTTGTAGGTTACATAGTTTACTTTAAGGGTGTGCATAATTTTTTAAAATTTTCAGTGATAGTAAGGTCATTATTCATGCATAACCAATGTAGGAATTCCTTAGGAATCCGGAAAGATACGTAAGGCTTGGTGCACGTCCACCAAGAGGGGTCCTATTGGTGAGATCAACATCAGAACCTTTCTACTTGTGCAAGTTCTGGAACAGGATCTTTTCCAAAGAGTTTTTAATTTTGTAGGTGGGTCTTCCCGGGACAGGCAAGACACTTCTAGCAAAAGCAGTGGCAGGAGAGGCAGAAGTGCCTTTTATAAGTTGTTCTGCTAGTGAATTTGTGGAGCTCTATGTTGGAATGGGTGCATCTCGGGTGCGAGATCTTTTTGCAAGGGCAAAGAAAGTGGCACCTTCTATCATTTTCATTGATGAGGTGTGATCATTGGTGCTATACGTATTTAAATGATCTCATTATACTCAATTTTCTTATGCTGGAAACTGCGTTTTCCCTTGTAGATAGATGCAGTTGCAAAAAGTCGCGACGGTCGATTTCGCATTGTCAGTAATGATGAGCGTGAACAAACGCTTAACCAACTGCTCACAGTATAGATATTTTACCAGCACTTCTCTTGATAATGCCTTTGAAATTTTGTATGAATTTGCTCTATATTTACTGTCATACATTGATGTTGATTATCAGGAGATGGATGGATTTGAAAGCAGCTCTGCAGTTATTGTTCTTGGTGCAACTAATCGTTCAGATGTCTTGGATCCTGCACTTCGTCGTCCTGGAAGATTTGATCGTGTTGTGATGGTATGAATTCTGGCTTTTGTTTGATTCAGTTTAGTGGAAGATAATTATCAAAATCCTTTTTATACCCAAAAAAAAAAAAAGAATTGTTCATTGTTTTTTTTTGGATTATAGGTAGAGACTCCTGATAGGGTTGGCAGGGAAGCCATTCTAAAGGTTCACATTAACAAAAAAGAACTTCCTTTAGGGGAAGATGTAGATCTTAGTGAAATATCTTCAATGACCACTGGTTTTACTGGGTAAGGGTTATGTCCCGTTTCATGTTTTTCTAAAAGTTTCCTTTTCCTTTTGTTCTTGACTTGTTTAATTTTATTGGAGTTGTGCAGAGCAGACCTTGCAAACCTGGTTAATGAAGCTGCCCTTTTGGCTGGAAGGTTAAATAAAGTTGTTGTGGAAAAGATTGATTTCATTCGGGCTGTTGAACGATCTATCGCTGTAAGATGTACTTATCATCATTTTTACATTATGTATTCGCTATCATCTTTCAAATGGGCACTTGTTCATATATTCCTTGTTTTAGTCACGTAAATTGCCAATTTCTGTTTGGTGTCGCTTGCCATAAATCTTGTCCGTTAACAATTACTAGGTCGTACGGTCGACAGAATACTTCTATACAAATGTTGAAGGATTTCTATTCTCTTTTCATGATCAATATAAGAGGACCAACAAAAGCAAAAATAAGGCTCATGAACCTTACCGAAAGTATATAATATATATATATATATATATATATACCAACCCAAGCTTCTTAGACCTGCAGCTCTTGCTTGCTGTTAAATCAGTAGTGGTTTGCTTGGTATTGTTAATAATCCATGTCTTTTAAGTCATTATGAGATTAGACTAGTTTAAAAAAAATGGATTTTTTAATGTTGTTTGTCTTGCAATAAGGAAAACTATTTTTATTTGATTAAACGGTGGTAGATTTGACCTTCAAACTCTCTGCGTGATCTTTTCTTTCTTCTCTTTGCTCTGTTTGGCATGTCTTATTGGTTTATTTGTTTTTAAATTTAAACTTAAAGGAAGGATCTTTCCAGGGTATAGAGAAGAAACATGCAAAATTACAAGGAAGTGAAAGGGCTGTTGTTGCACGACATGAAGCAGGTCACGCGGTCGTTGGAACTGCTGTTGCTAAATTGCTTCCTGGACAGCCGCGTGTTGAGGTGAATTGAAGCATCTTTCTTCTTGGATACAAATAAAATGGAATATTTTGTATTGTTAAGCTACATTAGGTAAATTAATATTCTTTTATTTCTGTTATCAGAAACTGAGCATATTGCCTCGATCAGGAGGTGCATTAGGTTTCACATATATCCCTCCTACAGCAGAGGATAGATATCTTCTCTTTGTTGATGAGTTGCGTGGCCGTTTGGTCACCCTTCTAGGTGGACGTGCGGCTGAAGAAGTTGTATATTCTGGTCGTATATCAACTGGAGCTCTTGATGATATAAAGAGAGCAACTGATATTGCTTACAAAGCTGTAGCAGAGTATGGTCTCAATCAGACGATAGGCCCCATATCGCTTGCGACATTATCTAGTGGGGGGCTTGATGATTCTGGTGGTGCAGCTGGTTGGGCAAGAGATCAGGTTCCTTCTCCATTCACCCTTAATTTCTTATTATTAAGCTAATAGAAGATAAGGCTTGCATAATTACTGAATATATATAGGGGCATCTGGTTGATCTTGTGCAAAGAGAGGTGCAGTCACTTCTTCAATCTGCTCTTGAAGTTGCTCTCTCGGTAATACATGCCAATCCTACCGTGTTGGAGGGACTTGGAGCTCATCTTGAAGGTAGACTAAAATACTCTCATTTTTGTTTTGGTTTATAGTGCCCTTTTATATCTAAGCAGCAGCTTGTCTATGGTTCTAGTTGAATTTCTTCCTGACTTCCCTGTTTGATCATGTCATAAGCTATGATGCACAGACATGAACACGATGACAAGGACATGAGACACGTTAATTATTGAAAATATAGGACACAGACATGGGTTGGACATGATATTATATTTTTATATTTTAAAAATAGTGTATAAAAATTTAATAAGTATAATATTAAAAATAATTTAGAAATAATAAGTCATTTAATTAAAGTTTGTTCTTAAAATGATTAATATTATAATGTCAAGAGTCGTGCGTCGATGCTGTGTATCAAACATCGAGAGAGGAGATAACAATGTTGTTGAGAGTTGGGCATCGATGTTATGTGTTGAGTCTAGTAAATAGGTTGTTAGACCTAAGTTAATGTCCCAAGGCTACCAAGAGGGGGGGGGTGAATTGGTAGTTAAAAAAATTAAAACCCTCTTTTAATTTAAGTTGAACCGAAATGAAAATTTTCTTTTAAGTTTTTGTAGAAAACGTTTTTCAACCACAGAGTTTTTTAAAATAAAAAATAAAATGCGGAAAAGTAAAAACAGTAAAGTAAATGACACCAGATTTATAGTGATTCGGTCTAAACCAGACCTACATCTACTCCCCAGAGGCACCCTCTGAGTATTGCACTAATACCAATAGTGACTCTCCTTTTGCACCCACAGCAAGGCGGAGAAGCCTTTACAAAACACTCTTTTCACCACTACCCGGTGCGGCAGAGAACCATCGTCCTTTTACACAATCCCCAGTGTTGGCAGAGAACCGTCGTCCTTTCACACTCTCCTAGTGTGGGCAGAAAACCGTCGTCCTTTCACACTCTCCTAGTGTGGGCAGAGAACCCTTCGGCTGTTCACACTCTCCAAGTGTAGGCAGCGAACCCTTCGGCTATTCACACTCTCCAAGTGTTGGCAGCGAACCCTTCGGCTATTCACACTTTCCAAGTGTAGGCAGCGACCCTTCGTCTGTTCACACTCTCCAAGTGTCGGCAGAGAACCGGATCTCCTTGACAGATCTTCTCACAAGAATCTAGAAGGAAGAAGTAAAATAGTGAAGTAATCCCAATTCACAAGTAGAGATTCTTATCTTTGAACTCCAAGTGAAGCCTTCACGCTCCAGTGGTAGGAATCCTCCTTTGAATGCACTCTCACTCTCTCCTTTGCTATTCTCTCAAGAGGCACGAAGATCAAATCACAAAAAGATTGGGTGGCAGTCTGATTTGGACTATTTATAGAAAAGACAAGAAAAACTGTCCAAAAACTGCAAGTTTTCAATTCTGTACGCAGTGGATCGTCCCGTACGATCGTGGATCGTCCTAGACGATATTACTTAAAAGCTTTGAAACGAACCTGTTTGCATATGTGTACGAAGTGTTATCGTACAAGATGATCGTCCCGTACGAACTAAGTTCGTCTGGTACGAACGGTTATTACAAGGTCGGTTCCAAAAACTGTAGAAAAACCGTCCTAAGTCGGTTGTATCGTTTGGACGAAAATTGGTTCATCCGGACGAAATTTTTACAGAGACCATATCGTCCTAGACGATTTTTAATTTCGTCTGGACGAAAATTTTACAGAGACCAGATCGTCCTGGACCATATTTAATTTCGTTTGGACGAAAATTTTACAGAGAGCAAATCATCATGTACGATAATTTAATTTCGTCTGGACGAAAATCTTACAAAGAACAAATCGTTCTGGACGATATTTAATTTTGTCCTGGACGAATAGGACTTAGAAAAATTTTTCAAGCCAGTTCCTATTCGTTCCATGTGCTCAATAGGAGATAACTGTCTGATCGTCCCGTACGAACTAATATCGTCCCGTACGATCAGTATAAATTTTATATGATCTCCTTATGTGTGTGTGTATGTTTTTATTCACTCAATTACAATCATTCTATTTTAATTTTATTTCAAAGAAAAGTATAAGCTTCAAATTTCACAAAGTATTTCATGCTGAATTTGATTTGAAGTCTTCGTAGTCTGGAGTTCGATTTTCTTGAAATGTTAGTACACACAAGAGCAATACAAATCTTATAAAATTGTTAGGAGATAACTACACATTTGAACAATAATGTTTGAAATCATCAAAACTATACAAGTTGCAAAAATGTAAAGCATGCAAATAGCAACTATCTTAATATTATGCAGTAAGTATCGGGCGTCGATGTTGAGAGGGCGTTAGTCATCGATGTTAAAACGTCGTCGAACAAAAATGAGTTGTCAAGTTGTGGGTGTAGAAATTGCTAGTGCTAAGAATCAACGTCAAAATAGTGTCAGACTTTGATGTTGAGATGGTTTTGAAATGTCGTTATTGTAACGATGTCAAACATTGATGTTGAGATTAATCGAGCATTAGTGTGAAACCAAAGTCGTGACCCGCCAAAGAGAAATGAAAATGAGAATATTTCTGTGCAGCGATTGATTTGGTGTTGTGGATATAAAATACTAAATTTAATTTTTATATTTTAAATAAATAAAAAATTTAAATACAAGAAATTATATCTAAAAAGAATTCATAAAGTATATAAGATACGCGTGTCCAATTTGTATTTAATATTTTTTTAATCGGACACATTTTCAGCATGTCTGACACGTGTCGGAGGCGTGTCGGATGCGTGTCGTGTTTGATGCTACACGTCTGTTTGAGAAGAAGTGTTGGTTCATCATAGGTCTTAAGCAATCATAAGCAATATGTGATCATTGGGCTACTTCATATTTTTAGTAGACCTGTCTTCTGAAATTTCAGCAAGTTTTGATGTTGCTAGGATTTTTTGGAAACTTGGTAATGTTTGTGTTATCAAAATACTTTGCAACTCATTTTACATTTTTCAAAGTAAACTTGCATATCCAAGCTATGGAACTTCATAGTGAGGTACCTCACATACCAACTTTTAGAATTCAGAAAATTTGGTTCCTATTTTATGGTTGTTTTATACCCTTAAATGGAGATGCTATCAAACATGTCCTCTTACCTTTGGGAAACCACTTATACAATCTTAGTTAAACATGCTAACTTATATCAAACTCAATGTGTCAAATTATTAATTTTGGGATTTTAATAATTAAAATTATTACAAGCTTATTTAAGGTCTTGAATTGAGTAAATATTATATGTTTTAAGTTTTAGTCGCCCTGACTAGAACTACACAATTCAAGGCCATTAGCAATATGCCTCTAGAAGTCATTGTCATCCTTCCAAGTCAGGGAGAACACATACATAATGTGTGAGTCCATTGGTCATAAGCTTATAGGAAAAATAATTACAAAAACTTAAGAAAGTTAATATAATAAGTTGAATCTTTTGAAGATTTCGCTACTACGAAACTGCTATAAGTAGATCCATATGGCAGACAATAACAACAACAACAACAACAACAACATCAAGCCTTTATCCCACTGTGGGGTTGGGTATGTTGGAGAAATTTTTGTCATCCTCAATGGATTGCATATTTTGTGATCAAGTACGCATAAGAAAGATGATATATTACCTTGAATGATAAAATATTATTTCCTTATGGACTCATTAACAAAATTTATAATTTTAACATAGGATACGGTGCCCTTATGGTTAATTATATCTCAAGCATTTGATACTTGAGAAAACTTTTGATTAAACTAGTAGTTTTCTTTCTTACTCAAAACTATCATATATTGGACTTTATATTTTAGAATCCAATTTTTTATTTAAGTTGACAATTTTAATTAGAATGTTGGGGCTTATATTCTAACAATACATTTCCAGAAGGTGAGGGTTTGTGAGTGACTGAAATCAACTTCTGCTTCGGACCCTAGAATTAAGGTGAGGACTACTTAAGTGTGGGCTTTTCTACATGAGATTTACTAGGCTATGCATGATCAATTTAAATTTTAAAAAACTTGGCTCCTTAAAGGGAGCCATACAATTTTTCTTTTATTTTAAAATCTTGAAGCCTAATATGATTTTAGATTACTTACTATTTTAACAGGTAGAAATCTTAATTTTTTCCTAAGTGCCTACCACATCAAAAGTCCAGACCACCCCTAAGCAAAAGCAAAAGAAGAAACCTAAGCAAAACATACATTTTCTAGTACGCAATCAGTTAAATAGATCAAAATATGCTTACATATATAAATTAAACAAAATGAATGTAAATTATAAAATTCAAAATATTACAATCAAGTTTGACAGCTAATGTGTTTGTCATTATACTTCCCAGTTAAATTTTTATTACAGACTCTTACTCGTGAGGGTCTTCAAGCTTTTGACTTTTAAATGGACTTTGGACTTCACCTTTATCATGTACATCATCTAAATTGCCATAACAAGGCTGACCTATTAAAAAAATTAGTTGTTATTGTGTGTTGGTTGGTGTTCCCGACATGTCTTTGGTCCGGGTTTCATTAAGTTAAGTTTATTTTTTAATTTAGGTCAATAATAGGCATTTAACAAAGGTTACGAATGCACTTAGAAATGGTTTATATACGGACAGTGGGCAAAGCTTTACCATAATAAATTTGTTGCTGTGTTTCAGAAATATCTATGATGACTTGATGAGATGGATCTTTTTCACAACTTGAATTTTATAGCTATTAAAAATTAATTAGATTTTTTTCCCAAGTGAAAAAGTCTGACATCACTCAGTTTTACCTACAACCGTTCCACAACTAGTTTTTTCAATCATTTCATTTCATGCAAGTGTTCAGTATATTCTTTATGTTCTGAATATTTATTATGTTGTATTATTTTGTTCTCTTTCTGGATTTACCTGTTCAATCATATTATCCTGTGGTCAGAAAAGGAGAAAGTGGAAGGGGAAGAGTTACAGGAATGGTTGAAGATGGTTGTTGCTCCTGCCGAGCTGAGATATTTTGTAAGAGGAAAACGTGATAATGCATTTAAATTAAAGACAAACTCTTGACAAATCATGTTCATAGCGTAGAAGAATATATCGTCTTTGTATCTTTTCTGGGAAAAGATTGTTAAAAATTAAGTTCTTTTCGAAGAAAAGCTGTCGATTTCACTTCAAATGTCCTCCTGTCATTACAAGTGTGACTATTCGGATGGTCAAGATTTTGATGAGAAATCTTGCTCAAGTTCCCATTACACTGCAACTTCCTACAGGATACAGGCTTTCCATTTCCTCATGCCAGAATGGTGTTGAGCAAGTAGATGATTAGTAGTACATATTATGTGCAACTTCCTGTACATTATTATTGTTCCAGTCAATTAATCCAATTATAAGACACTGTAAAGTTACATGTCACCATGATCCGTTGAGATTTTTTATGAAAGGGAAGTATCAAAGCTGTCTGATGTGATGTCTGCCTATTTTTTTTAATTATTTTTATGACCAACTCAAAATCCTGCTTGTTCGCTGGTTGTATCGAGAGAATTTGGCAGAATACGGTGATTTAAATTTGATTTTTATTGAGTTTATTTTGAGATGGATATAATAAAGACATTTTCTATTGTGAAATATTCAGTCCAATCATAAACCAACAAATGTTTGAGTCATTCTAAGTATCGCTTTTGCAAAATATTGGTCACTAAAACAACTAGATGCTAACAACACTTTTATTCATGGCCATCTCAGTGAAGTTGTTTAGATGTACCAAACTATGAGATTTCATAATCAAGACAATCCTAGTCATGTGTATCTTCTACGACGAGCACTCTATGGACTCAAACTAACCCCTCGTGCTTCGTATCAATAGCTTCTTCATCATTTTCTTCTATCCATTAGTTTTGTTAATTCAAAATCTGATGCATCACTAAACTATCAACAATTTTGAAACAAAAAAAATTCTATTCAATCCGGGCTCTAGCGATTCATCTAAATATCCAATCCGCTCTACGCCCTACGCCCTAATTTTATATTTATTCTCATGTCTTTCAGTTCAAGCTCAGATTCCTCTCCACTCGACATTCGCAGATCTCAAGATTCATCCTGCCTCTCTATTCGCCCCTGCTTCCTATTCGGAAAAGTTGAACCTGAGCTAAATTTTATTTCTATATGCCAATCCACCATGTGATAGCTAAGCAGCAAACTTATATCAATATGCAACACTTGTCAAAATTACCTAAGTAGACTCTAGCTTTATTTCTTGCGGAAATGAGTCCCTCAATGTAGATGTTTGATGCATAACATTTTATCTTGTAGTTTATATTTTCTTTGTTTAAACAATAAATTAAAAAAAAACTAAAACTTGCCACTCTCTTGTCAATTTCGTATGAAGATTGGGGTACTTTCAAAGGGAGTAATTATTGTGTCCGGACACCGAAAGCATCCAGAGACCAATAGCGAAGCGCCACGTCACTTGGGCGCTCGGTACCGTGCTCGATACAACACTCGGTATCACTCAGTATTTGTCCAGATTTACATTTTTTTCGTCCGGATGTAATAACTTTTCCCTCAAAGGACTTCATATTGAGGGCATATTGGAGAAACAAATAATTATATACATTTATCTTTTATGTTAATATGTATGTAAATATTGTACAAAATGCATAATATAAAATTATTCTTTAAATAATTATAAAACTTTTCTCTTACAAAATGCTTAATAGTGTCTGCTATCTAGCTAACGAAATCTTTAAAATTGATATTAAATGATCGTTAATTTTTTTGTTCGCACATTTTCACGTCTTTTTTCTTTTAAAGTTTATTTTCAAGACTTAAAAAAATAATAATTCTTATATATTTATATATGTAATGTTAAATTGTTTATTTATATATATAATACTTTAAATTTCAAGTCATACGAAGAATGTCAATAATATTATTTTAAAAAATATAATATATGTTTGAATATAATTTAAATATTAAAATGCTATATAAATTAATAAATTTAAATGTTAGATAAATGAAAAAAAATTAATCAAACGTGTAAATTTATAAAAAATTAAATGACATTATCATTTATTTAAATAAATTAATAAAAGAATTCTACCCCATTTAAATTTTTTTTAGAGATTTTAATTATTTTTATTCTAAAAAGTTCGGAACGCTTAGCACTTCCGCTTCCCAATGTTAACTGCAGAATTTGGCGGGTTATCATAGCCGTCCATATGGGAGATAACGGCTGATATCACATTAGTCGTCGGCAGCTTGTGGACCTAATCCTTCCCAGGTTGGCACTTGGCCCTTCTACCATGAATTCGCTCAATAAATTACCTCCATTCGTCTCCTCTTCGCATTCGTCTCCTCTTAGGCTTAGGCTTCTTTATCTGCGCTGTTCCTCAAAAAGACAACCAAACAGAGAAGAGAAATAGAGGTATACAACTTGCTTATTCCCCTCTATCTGAATCTGAATTTTTTTTTCATTGATTCACTTCGGAATATATACTTCCCTATATCCCTCCATATTTAGGGGTTTGTTCGCTTCTGCCAATGGAATTGTCGATTTTTTCTCCATTTCAACCTAATTGTATAAATTTTGAAGGCAATTACTATATAATTGAAAAACTTAGATTTTTTTCATTACACAAGGGATCCATATTCTATATAGATGCACTAAAACTACTCAGTTTTATGAATTATTCACACAAAATCAGATATTGCGTGACAAGAAGGATTTTTTTTTTTTTTGAGAAAAAGAGGGATGCATGCTGTTGTTATTCACTAAATTGTGATGGAATAAAATCAATTCTTAATAGGGAATGGGAATGAGCTGTGAGCGTCTTAGACCAACTCCGTTAGTGCTTTTTGTTAGATTAAGAAGATTTCTGAACAATTTCTTTTTCTTTATTTTTCATTTTTATTCATCATCATCTTCTTCCCCTCCTCTGAGGAAGAATATAAGTGTTTCTCTTTTGTTTGTGCGTGAATGAGCATGCATGTGATGATTTAACGCATAGTTTGTTAGATTAAGGGGTTCTTTGGCTACAAGTACGATTTAGTAAACCTGTAAATCAAGATTTAGTAAATATTGATAGAATTAAAACCTGGAACTATTTGACATGATAACTATTAAGGCTACGTTTGGGACGGCTTTTTTATTGTTTCTTAAAGCAGCCTTCAAGTATAAAAAATAAATTTTTTAAACTACAAAGCTGTTTTAAGAAGCAGTAAGAAAGCCGTCTCAAATGAAACCTAAATCTTGTTTGACTATTTGCTCTAAGATTTAAGCTATATGAGAGGGAGAAATCCTTAGACCCATTAAATCTTGTGAATAATAGGTTTTCAAAAAATTTGGATTTAAACAGTAATGGGGTTGAAATAGTATTTATTAAAATAATAGGATTTAAAGTCCTCTTATCTCAAGGGGATGTTTGATACCAGGATTTACAGTAAATCTTGCTAAATGGTCTGAAGGACATCCAACCTTCTTTTTTTAAACTCTGTTTTATCTTCATTTCACCAGTGAGATTTTGATGAACAAATTTTTTTTTTGTGACGTCATTGCCTCTATTTTCTTTTCTAGCCCTATTTCTTGCTGGCATCATGCGAACCCATACCACATTGCCACGACCCTGCCTATGTCTTTGAAAACAAGCTCCCATCATAATTTCCTCACTTCTTTTTCATTGAGGGTTTCAGGTAGTAGTGTAAGGGGGAGAAAGGCTAGGGATTTGAATGTTAGGTATTTTGCAATAAGTTTATAATTGAAAATTATAAAATTAATTTTAATAATTATGTAAATTAACTAAAAAGTTATTAAGTTAAGCAAATTAATATTATTTGTGTTTAATTTGATTAAATAGAAATTCTTATGTTTAATTAATCTTATAAACTTTTAACTAATAATCAATTAAAATGCTATGTTAAGCTAATTATAATTTAATTCGTGTAATTAGAATTGATAAAAATTTATTAACATTCAATCAATTAAATTAGATATAGATACATTAATTTATAAAATTAAAACAACAGTAATGATTAATATTAGTAAATTAAAAAGATATTAACTTAAGTAAATTGATATTATTTTTATTTAATTTGACAAAATAGAAGTTCTTGTTTAATAGGTGTATTACTAATTAATAATTAACTGTCATATTATTTTATGCAAGTTATGATATAATAAAACTAATTAAGATTGATATATTATATAATAAAATATCATGATCATATAATTTTTTAATCCTTAACGTATTACCATAACTTAGAGTCATGAGATCAAATTTTTAATAGCCAGGGCTTTTTTTTTTTGCTATCAATTGACTCATTGCAAAGCTACACAGGTTATGGTAACTGTTAAATTTAGAGATTTGGAGAAGGATAATGCTTAATTTTATTGCACAAAATTGTCCTTATTTATAGATCTATACAAGATATCTTAATAAAGAAATAAATAATAACAGAATTATGCATAATCGCTCTAATATAATACTTCCTAAATCAGCCACCTAAATATGAAAGGAGATCAGTGTGATTCAGGTGAGCCTCCCACGAATCCCTATCCTAGTTGTGGGATCAAAATGCCAAAGGGCGGTTGGAATTTAACACCCCCCATCAAGCTGTGGAATATGGATCAGTCATTTTCAACTCGGTAATCAACCCCAAAAAGGTAGAGTTATCAAGTCCCTTAGTAAGAATATCTGCAAGCTGATCTTTTGATGAGACATGGTAGATACATATAATACAATTGTCTAATTTCTCCTTTATGAAATATCTGTCCGCTTTTATGTGCTTGATCTTGTCATGCTGAACCAGATTGTGAGCTATGCTGATTTATTGTCATAATATAGCTTCATGGGTCATTCCCACTTGATTTTTAGGTCTTCTAAAATCATCTTGATATATATTAGCTCACATATTTCCATGATCATAGCTACGTATTCTGCTTCTACACTAGATCTTGCCACCACATTCTGTTTCTTGCTTCTCCATTAATAAGGTTTCCTCAAAAAAATATGCAATATCCTAAGGTAGATCATTTATCTGGGTTCCCCTTAAGGTAGTGCAGTATTCTGTCTATAGCTTGCATGCGAGTCTGCGTTGGATTTTGCATGAATTGGCTGATCATGCTTATAGCAAATGCTATATGCCTATATCTGATCTACTATGGGAAAGATAAATCAATTTCCCCACAAGTCTTTGGGAAGCTCCCTTATCTACATTCTTTTTTAGCTTCCCCCTATTTGAAATTTAGTTCAATTGGTGTTGGTGTCAGTTTACAAGCTAGTTTATATGTTTCTTTAAGAATAACATTAATGTATTTTTGTTATGAAATGAAGATTTTTTTGCTGGAGTGGGCCACTTTAATTCCAATAAAATATTTTAATCTACCAAAATCTTTGATCTCAAATTCCTTGGTACGACATTTCCTTAGAATCATTTTCTCCTTTTCATCATTCTCAATCAAGATGATATTGC